CAAGAACATAAGGTCATCCATTCAGATAAGACATACTCACAACGCAATGTGCAGGGCTCTGAACGATCCAGTGCGCCCGAGCAGGTTGACATAAAGGGCGTTAAGAGCGTAGGGCCCTCCATTGAAATAGGAAGTACCCAAGACCCGATGTAAAGGGCCCCCGAATGTTCGAGTGTGCTCGAGCAGGTGAACCAATAGGACTCCTAACAAGAGCGTAGGGCCCTCCATTGAAATAAGAGGTACCCAATACCCAATGCAAAGGGCCCGCGAATGACCGGGTGTGCCGGAGCATTTTAACAAATCGGGCTCCCAACAAGAGCGTAAGGCCCTTCATTCGAATGGGAAGCACGAAAGACCTCATGTAAATGGCCCTATAATTATGGAATGAGCCCGAGCAGCTCATCAGAAGTGGCCCGACATGAGCGTAAGGGCCCTCCATTGAAATAAGAAGTAGCCAAAACCCGATGTAGAGGGCTCCTTAAAGATGGAGTATACCCGAGCGGATTATCATGTGGCCCAGACAGAAGTGCAGGGCTCTTAACTCAAACACCAAAACCCAACAAAAAGGCCCCGAACAATCCAGTGTTGTCGAAGCGGCGAACAGATGGGCTCCTCGACAAGTGTGTAGGACCCTCTATCCAGATGAAGAGTAACCAAGAAAAATGTGAAGGGATGTTCGAGTGGGCCCGAGCAGGTTAACAGATGGGGGCTCCGGCAAGAACGTAGGGCTTTCCGTCCAAATATGAAATACCCACGACACGATGTAGAGGGCCCCGAATAATCGAGTGCTCCGGAGCAGGTTGATGATAGGGCCCCCGAAAAGGGGCGGAGGGCCCTCCATTCAAAAACGAAGTACCCAAAACCATCTGTAGAGGTTCCCTACGATCGAATGGGCTCGAACATCTTATCAGAAAGGGCCCCGAAAGGAGCCTAATGACCTCCATTCAAACAAGAAACACCCAAAACGCGGTGCAGAGGGCCCCTGAAAAATTAAGTGTACCCGAACAGGTTATCAAATGACCCGCGTGGAAGCAGAGGGCCGTAAATTCAAACACCAAGAACCAATGTGCAACCCCCCCCCCCCCGAACAATCCAGTGTCACCGAGGAGGCGAATAGAGGAGGCCCCCGACAAGTGCGTAGGGCCAGATTAAAAAAATACGTGCCCAAGGCCCAATGTAGAGGGCCCCCCGAACGATCAAATGTGCCCGAGCACGTTATCAGATAGGCTCCCGACAAGAGTGTATGCCCCCCTCTCATTCAAGTAAGAAGTACGCGAAACCCAATGTAGAGGGGCCCCGAATGCCCGAGTGTGCCCGGGGAGGTTAGCAGATAACGTTCCCAAAAAGAGCGTAGGGACCTCCATTCAAATGGGAAGTATTCAAAACTCAACACAGAGGACCCCCGAACGATCCAGTGCGTCAGAACGGGTTAGCATTCAGGGCCTCCTTCTAAAGCGTAGGGTCCTCCATTGAAAAAGGAACCGCCCAAGACCCAATGAAAAGGGCCTCCACAAGAGAGTGGGGCCCCCGTTCAGAAAAGGAATACCCAAGACCCAGTGTGGAGGGTCCCTGAACGACTGGGTGTGCCCAAACAAGCCATCAGATGGGCCCCCGACAAAAGTGCCCTTAGCAAGTGACAGAGAATCGGAAACGCCCTAGACCAATGTAGAGGGTCCATGAGCATATCGCAAGTGTGTCGGTAGGTTTACTGAGATCCACGTAAAGGGCCCCTGAGGAACCGAGAGTACCCCGGCAGGTTAAGATGTGGGACTCCGGCTATAGCTCACAGAGTCTTTGTGGCGAATGGAAAGAACACGTGAAAGGGCCCGTGATTGCCAAGAGTGCCCGGGCAAGCTAGCAGGAAGGGCACCAACAACAGCGCAGGGCCCTCCGAGCAAGTGCAAAGAAATAAAGGGCAACGTGGACTGCTTCTTAACGATCGAAATGATCTTGCCAGTGGGCATATAGGTCTCCCGGAGAGGACATGGCTCCTAGGCAGTGCAATGAGGCTTAAAATTTCCAATTCACAACTTTTCCGATCGGTGAACGATTTTTTGACTCTTCATAGGCCCTTCAGTTTCGCGTTCTCGGTCACCTGAAATGACAGGGATATCCAGTTTTGTTGCGAGTTGTGTTAACAAATTGCACCTGTTCGGCCGGCGATGGCCCCCCTCGGAGCCAATGGGCTCCTTCGGGTCCCAAGGGGGCCATGGCCCCATGCTCCCCCTTGGATCCGCCTCTGACTAAGCTTTCCCATCTTTGGAGGCGCGTGGTGTCATTGTATGTCTGAAGAACGCCAGTGTTCTTCGTTATTTGTCGTGTTAATGTCTTGTCATGTTCGTGTCGCACGTGCTCCAGAGATGCGCAGTCGGGTAAATGCGTGGTCATGCTTCGTGAGAGTGCTGTGTTGACACCACTGTAGTGAATGGAATGAAGTTTGTAGCTGTCGATATTGCATTTAGGTAATACACTACATTGATGCACCCTAGTCTGTCAGGTTTGCCAGAACAGCTTTTCACAAGAAAGTTGCAGATTTTTCTGTTGCGATAGGAAATGACGAAAGCAAGTGACCAAAAAATATTGCGATAGTAAATGATAAAAAGGTCTATCCTGTGGCTGTTCCTCTCTTTACGTGTCGGAGATGGTTTCTGGTGTAGTTTTTCCCTCTCGTTTGTAAACATATGTCACTTAAATTTGGTGCATCCGGTCGGATGAGTGTTTGGGAGAGCTCGGCACCTGCCGATGACCCGCCGCTGGCCGCGGAGGTCGTACGCACGTCCCACATACCCGGCGCCGTCCCCGGCCGCGGAGGATGTACGCACGTCCCACACACCCGGCACTGTCCCCGGCCGCGGAGGACGTACGCACGTCCCACACACCCGGCGCCGTCCCCGGCCGCGGAGGATGTACGCACGTCCCACATACCCGGCGCCGTCCCCGGGCGCGGAGGATGTACGCACGTCCCACACACCCGGCACGGTCCCCGGCCGCGGAGGATGTACGCACGTCCCACATACCCGGCACTGTCCCCGGCCGCGGAGGATGTACGCACGTCCCACATACCCGGCACTGTCCCCGGCCGCGGAGGACGTACGCACGTCCCACACACCCGGCACTGTCCCCGGCCGCGGAGGATGTATGCACGTCCCACATACCCGGCGCCGTCCCCGGCCGCGGAGGATGTACGCACGTTCCACATACCCGGCACTGTCCCCGGCCGCGGAGGATGTACGCACGTCCCACATACCCGGCACTGTCCCCGGCCGCGGAGGACGTACGCACGTCCCACACACCCGGCACTGTCCCCGGCCGCGGAGGATGTATGCACGTCCCACATACCCGGCGCCGTCCCCGGCCGCGGAGGATGTACGCACGTTCCACATACCTGGCGCCGTCCCCGGCCGCGGAGGATGTACGCACGTCCCACATACCCGGCACTGTCCCCGGCCGCGGAGGACGTACGTACGTCCCACATACCCGGCACTGTCCCCGGCCGCGGAGGACGTACGCACGTCCCACATACCCGGCACTGTCCCCGGCCGCGGAGGACGTACGTACGTCCCACATTCCCGGCGCCGTCCCTGGCCGCGGAGGACGTACATACGTCCCACATACCCGGCGCCGTCCCTGCTGTGCCGCCGGCCGTGAACACGTGAACAGAGGCGCCCGGCCGCCTTCTGTTGACCCGGCGAGAGAGCGGCCGGTCCTGTGACTCAGCACTGACCTGAGAGTGCGGCGCGGCCGCTCCGCCGCTGCCGAGAGCGGGGCCGCTCCGACTCCGCCGCACCGGAGGACCGGCACCGTGTTGACGGCCGCACGTCGAGTCAGGTGTCATCGTCGGTGTCTGCGTTATCCTGTTACAGCTTGTGCGATCGGCCCACCTTTTCTGTTGTCGCTAATGCAATATTCATTACGTTGCTCATCTTAGCATTGCCGCGCCATCAGCGTGGCTTTCAATGTCATAATAATGGGCTACTGAAGGCTGAAAATGAGATGCCCGGCACCATCACTTACGGAAGTGAGACGAGGAGTGGACAGCAACCCAAGAAAACGCCACATGCGCGTGGTTGCGCGAGAGATGTTCTTCATCCCACACAACACGTGCGCCACTGAGATCATCAGCGTCATCATAATGCACGCCATGGTGGCTTGATGGCCAAACTACAGCCTATACGGGCATAAGCTCTCTTGCCGCTCGCAGTCCTACAGCAGAAACGTGTTCCTACGATTTTTTGTTATAGATCGCGTATAGGTACCGTTTGAGTTATTCAGGAGCGACCTACCGGCAGCCAGCCAACTGTGCCACGGGCTCCGAACTGACACTCTCCCGGCTTCTGACTGTACACCGCTGCGCCTGTCAACATCGAGCTCTGCACGATTCTGCACGCGGGTTCCACAGACTTGGCTGCGACACACACGTGTCGCCGTTGTGGTTCACTTACCAAGCATTCGGCCACGCGTACCGATTATCACAGTGAACCCAAACGCCGTCGTCGCTGACGACAAACCAATGAGCTCGCGTGATCTATGATCGAACTGTTATGATTGGCTGGCCAATTCACCGATGGAAACATAGCTGTGATTGCCTCGGCTGCTGCGTAAGTTCGACTCCCTTCCCTCACCTCACGTGGGGTGGGGTGGGTCCCGTGCCTCTCCCATTGCTGACGTGGAGAGGGTCCTGGTCCCTCCCTTGCCTCCCGTGTTTGAAGCGGCGTGTGTCCTGCTGCCCTCCTGCTCCTGGCGCGGAGCGTGTCCTGTTCCCTCCCGCTCCTGACGTGCAGCGGGTCTTGTTCCCTCTTGCTCCTGACGTGCAGCGGGTCCCGTTCCCTCCCACTCCTGATGTGCAGCGGGTCCCGTTCCCTCCCGCTCCTGACGTGGGGCGGGTCCTGTTCCCCTCCCACGCGCGACCAGGCGCGATCCGCCACCGGCCTGCTGTCGGCCGAGCGGCGGCGGCGGCGGGTCGGCACCTCCCGTCAGTGTGGCTCCGGCCGCTCCTGGCGCCGGTCGAGGCGCAGGGATGGCCCACACGCGGTCGGCTCTGAACGGAGGGCTGGCGCCGCGCGGCTGGACGCCCGGCCGACAGCCGGGCTGGGCCCGACGCACGCTGCTCACGCTCCTGATGGTCAGTGGCGTGCTGCTCCTCGGCAGTGCCATGGTGTTGACAGGCTCGACCTTTCACCCGCCGACAACCCGCCCCATCACTGAGTCGGCTGGCTACCAGGCGGGCCCGACGGCCAGCGACGGCAAGACTGAGGAGGCCGCAACCCTGAAGGGCCTCGCGACTGGCCACAGCGGCGGTCAGGAGACTGAAGAGTCAGCCGGCCCGGAGAAGGGCACTTACTACGGCCGAGCGCTGCACGAGATCTACGACAGGACGGTGCCGTCGACAGCCTGGCTCAACACGTCACGCTGCTCGCGCTACCGAACCTGGTAAGTACCTGCGCACCGGTACCTGTTGGTACCTGCACCATCCGGCAGGCACTGCATCGCCTCGGTTGGAAGCATGCCAGTCATGCCCATAGATTCGTAAAAAGGATGTTTGAGTTTGGGTCCGGTTTGCCACTCCTCGTGCTTATTAGTTGTAGTGAGGCCCTTGATGCTTCTTGCTAATAGTCTGTGTTTCCTTCGACAGAATCCAGTCATCTCACAATGTCTAAAGGCTTATCATCATTCCATGCTGCTTGCTTAGTGTGCGATGGCTTGTTCGATGCAACATGATTACATTACCACTTGAACAGTGAGGCCCAGCATTTTCCAGATTATTATGACGGATCTCTCCGCATACGCACGTGACTGGTCTTCGGCCTCTATACCTTTGATTATCCGTGCATCGATCAAGGTAGCGCGTTACTCTGGCGCGTTAGATTTGTCTCCTTTATTTCTCTCAGGACTCTCTCATATTTTTCATGTCGCACATGGTGAGCGACCCGCGTGTTTTGAACACACCAGTCGTCGTTCTGTTGGGTTATAATATGCATCTGTGGAGGCGAAAAAGGCCTAAAATGTTTGAAAAAATGTTAAAAAGCTTGAAAAAATAGGGTATCGGGGTTCCGGCTCCATTAGACACCAACATAATGTACGTCTGTATCCAAGCTTGACGTTCGGCCCTGGGTATGTTGATGGGTACATTAAAATAAATTATTAAAATTATTATGCGGCTGCAGCAGAATGTTTGAGTTCGCCTGGAGTTAAAGTTTCCATGGAGTATCCGCTGTCACGATAAGGTAGCAGTTGCGCAAGAGAGCGGAACACTAAGAAAGCTGCTAAGAGTGTGCACGGTTCGAATGTAACCTGGTGGCGTATATGGGAGACACCTAAGACAAAAGTGCAGGATTTATGTAAAATATATCGTGAGTGCAAAATCCCGCGCTACGGCACAATTCTGTGACCTGTCAATGCAACACAAACTAGGCAGTGGGCATCGTGTTGACGCTAGGGCAGAAACGAAGCGTTTCGGTGGATTGCTTTAGGTGCTTTTCCAGGTGCATAACCTTAGGTTTAGCAGCATCATTAGCATAGCATAACCCGTTCGCAGCATCATTCCCGGCCCGTGCTGTGTCATGATTCATGCATTTTTTAGATGCTTCCGAGTTTTGATTGGGACTCTCAATGCCCTCAGCCAGTCAACTGCTCTTTTGATGGTCTAGCCAGAACTCTTTTGCTGTTTCAGCCAGTCATGCTTTCCCATCAGTCATATTTGGCTAGGAGTCATCCATGAGCGTAATCGGATTTTCTTCATCCACAACACTTGCTATCAGTGCGATCTCACGGCAGCTAAATCACGCTTCCGCGAGTTTTTACGGAACCGTGTTATGAATGCGGTGTCGGAGATTAGAAGAGCTTTCGTGGGCAGGTGAATGGATTTCACTCCCATAATAACATATGTGAGAGTGCAAGGAAGATAATTGCAGTCTTTATTCTGAAATGGCTGTTTTTAAGTGTCCCTTATGCGGATTGTGCACACCAAAAAATAGCTGTTGAGCGGGCGTATTTTGCACATTTCACACGAATAGAAGTTTGCCTCTCACGTTGCACCTAACCCTTCCGCTTAATATCCATTATAACTTTGGTCTGCCGTAGAGATGTGGTTCACCAAAAATCATTTCTGAGCGAAACATGCAAGAGTGTGGGATTCTCTCCTGGTCCACATAGTTGTTCCTGGTTGAGATTGTTGCCACAGTAATTCATTGTTAGCTGTTTATCACCGTAGCCGTTCTTACGAGGGACTTAGGCGTAGCAAAGCTTTGTAGGGATGGAAATAAAGTGAGGAAGTGCTAGCAAATACCTCACACTTGACAAGAAAATATTTGTTTTCATCAAATGTCATTGTCATTTAATAGCCAAATGTCATTTTTCGGACACAAAATAAGGCTAAAACTTGTTTATCATTATTGCTGACATAATTTTACTACATATCAATCGCAATGCTACTGCATGTAGTGTTGCTACCTACAAATTGACAGGCACGCAGCCTGGATACAGGAGTCTGTTATGTCTCACCTGCGTCAGACGTCACAAAGAACCTTCTGCTTTCTTGACAATGGAAAGCTTCGGGAAGTAGGCATCTGGCATCATAATTGCCCAGACAAGTATGAACATGCTTATTACCAGCGACCCGCAACTTAATCAGTATATACGTCTTTACAAGCATCTTTGAACTTCTGCGAAGTAGTTGCAGTCAAAGGTTGCTTATAAAAGTTGTATCGTTAAAAGTAAGAAATTGAAGCTTTTTGAAGAGGTTTGGAAAGTGTTGTATCGTAACCATTCGTGAAAATGGCACTCGCTGTACATCTTATCTATGTTCATCGAAGCTGCTCGGTGATATTTCATCATCAACTGTTGCCAAAATTAGCGAGTTTTTAGCGAGTCTAGCGGGTTTGTGGCGCGTTTCTGCAAGTCGGTCCGATGCTAATCTGCAGTATATCCGTGATGGCGAGAACATGATTTAACGTGTCTACAAGCTCTGCAACATTTTTATGTCCAAGAGGGACTTCACCCCATTATTTCTATTAATTTCTTACAGATGTTGCGTCGCATACGTTCGGGAACACAACTATACGCCGTTCCCATGCTCATGCACATGCACACACGCACATGTACACCCATCCCCACACACGCGCACATGCACGCTTGCAGGTGCATACGTATACACGCACGCACATGCCGCAGGCACAATGGCGGTGAGACGGCTGTTCCCTATCTCATGTCAGGGAACAGTCTCACGGATGTACCATGGGGGCGGTGCTGAAATTGTCAGGCGACCTCGCACCCCGGTCAGGAGGGTCATACATGCGTATGCGTCAGATAACAATCGCGATCAAAACCATGTCACTTCGCGAGCAGCACTCGCGCGACGTCGTTACCGAAGTGCACGCCGTTTACGCGCGGTTTTAAAACGTTTCGGCTTCCGTTTGCGGATGGTCGGCGGCAAGACATCGAACGCGGTCATGATCGAGCGAATTCATACACCTAATCCACTAGTACGCATGGCTGGAGCGTGAGTGGCGGAGTCCAGCGTGAATTGCCGCTAGTCAGCCTCGTGCCACGTGAGCACTTTTTGCCCGCGGACGATGTCTATTGGCGAGAGTTTCCGATTCACATGCAAACAACATCTTTTTACAGTAAGATCAGTGAATGGTGCACATGCCAACCGGTGGTTGAGAGCAGGCTTGAGTACTTCAAAACGCCACCAATGCCTTCAAGCTTCCGGCGTCGCGATGCAATACGGGCAACAGAAATGGGTAGCGCTTGTATCTGTATTCATCTGGGCGACACTGCTGACGCCGTGAACGTCAGTGCCGTACACGTGACCGGTGTCAGTGGTCCCTGGATGGTCCAGGTCCACAGGTCCCTGGATGACAGGATCACGATGGGCGCGGTGAGACCGAGCTTGCTTTGGCGGAGACCGATGAAGGACCCGGTGAAATTTCGCACGACGTCGTCAGCAAGAGAAAGTGCCCTAATCACGCACATTTATCAATGAGGCCGTCACTGCCGCGAAAAGGCTCAGTGACAAGCAAAACAACTTCGCCAGGCAACAGTGCGGTCAACTGTCTGTTTGGGACCCAAAATAAGAAGGCTGAGCGTGGCTGTGTGGCAGTGAAATTACGTCCAGGAGCTTTACATTCGCGTTTTGAGGAACAACTACCCTAATGGTGCACACCAAGAGCTCCCAATAGCTCACACCATTCACATATCCACTGTTATATCCAAGCTGAATCGCAAGCCGAGCACCGAAGATAGAAACTTTCCGTGACAAACCATGACCTCTGATGGCTTTCCGTTGCCTTGCCGCGTTGCTTGACCAGCGCGGTCACGGCACCGCGGGTGTCATCCATTAGTTCTATTTAAACATGAGAGCTTGGTAGCGTAGATTTATTTGGCCATGATGCAAAGAATGTCATTAAAACGAACACAGACCGCAAAGCGCACCTTCTTAGTCTCCGCGCTGTACACTTGACCTTGAGCTGGCCCGTGCGTTGCAACGATGGCATGCAACACTTTCAAGAACCTCAACAACCACGCAGCCGGCCCTAGGCCTAGCTCAACGCATACCCAGTTCCCGTGCGGTTTCACGCGTTTCACTTTCGCACGGCTCGCCGGGCACTGTCGCACCGGCCCCCGCGGCGCCGCGGGCGCGTTCGTCTGAACAGCGCTGTCCGCCGGCCCCCGCGGCGCCGCGGGAGCGTTCGTCTGAATAGCGCTGTCCGCCGGCGCTGTCGAGACAGGCGGGCAGGCTCGGGGCGCCGGCGCCGGGTCAGGTCGGGTCGCGTGACGTCACCGGACCCATTAGCCGACGGTCACCGGAGCTCCCGCACCGTCTCAGGCGACGGAGGCCTGCTCGAGGTGGCCGGGGCGCCTCCGCAATGCATGAGGCGCTGATGTTCCGCCCAGCCCCTGCGCCAACCCGGCGACCGACCGGAGCACCAGCACGTGTATGTCGAGTGGAGCCGCCAACGACGGGCGAGGCGGTTACGACGAGGCCGGTCACAACGCGTTTCAGCCGAACCGTTACAGTTATCAGTTCTCTCAAATAACGGTCACGAGCGGCCGGCACGACCTCTCGGACGCGCTGTGGCGGACCGCACGCTGCCGGCTCGCTGATACCGCTGCTCCCTGCGGTCATGATTCAGCCACTCCCAATACCTTTGTTGCTCAGCTGATTACTGCCAATGGTGTGACGCATTGGGCCGAATACGTTTGGATGTCGCTTTTTACTGAAGAGGTATGGCTCTCATCTCCCGAATCGTAAACGCGAGACGATGTATATTACTGGGTCGCACATTCTCTGGGGTCTTTGATTTATATCGCGGGAAAGTTGGTCTGACGAAGCCGAAATGTCCAACGCCCTAGAATTTTCAACGTCCCATCAAGTGGCAAATGAGAAAGGTTCCTTTCAGAGCACGGGCAACACCTCGCATCTCGTATGG